GAAGATTTTTTTTTTCAAAATATAAGTTTTTTTAACAAATTTTTGTACATGATATTTAGTAATTTGCCGTTTCATTAATAATTAGTTGAATAATTTTTGAAAGAAAAATAATTCTTTAATTTTCGTCTTTTTAGTTAAAACAACTTCTATTTTGAAACGGTGGGAGTAAGAAACCGAGTATGAAGAAAAGGTACAAGACATTAAGACATAAAAATGACAAAAAGATGTTGAGAGAGTAATTTCTTCCGATGATCGATGGTCGGTCGATTAATTGAACGCGCCGTCCACAAGACCTCAGCATTAGTAAATCTCTTCTGCCGATTTTGAATTATCACATACCCAATTATATTGCATAATGAGCATGTGTTCCTTTGATCAAATGCATTATAATTCATTATGATAACTGCGGCTCCATGTATAATTCATGGCCATAAGTAAAGCTTGTAGTTCGGCTTCCGTGATCGAATGACAAACCATGCCATATCTGAGGGTTTACCATCATGCGATGATGACAATCATAGTTACATTTGATATAACCTTTTCGTGGTCTTTTCTAGTTCAATTGTAGCATAGTCTTCACTCCATTGTTGTGAGAAGGTAGAAAATCTTTCGGATTCTTGCAACACAAGGTCCATTCAATAGCTTCATCTTCAACTCTCTTTAAGGGGGTGATTGGTTAGGACTTTAAAAACTTTTGGTTGTAGACTTTAAAAAACAAAAAACAAAAAATGACGGTAAAAACTTTTGCTTTAAAATAGTTGAGTGTGACTTTAAAAAAAAATAAAAAGTCAAAATTTTTATGCTTTAAAAAAACTAGCAAAACAACAGTAAAATTTGGAGAAAATGACGGTGATAATTTTTAGGAGAAATTTAGGACTTTAGAGACTTTATAAAAAGTCTTTACAGTTTTAAAAGTTCAATCGCCAATCACCCCTTTAAATCTTGTGTCGAGTCACTAGTTTTGTTTTGGTAGGGTAGGAGGATACAATTGTTCAAAATCCTCCATATTAGCATTATCCAAAATGGTAGTTATCTCATCAAAGGTGTTAGGTGGTGTTGATGATACCAGTCAAGAATCGGAAAAACGGCCTATTTGGATCCGAACTATTGCCGTCGTGCATTTTTGTACATGATCTTTTACCCTTCACCAATTTATACCCGAACCCCCAACTAATTCAAATTCAATACTTGAACACATAATCGTAGTGCCGATTTAGACCTTGACCAAGTAAAGTTTAATGGAACAATGACATGGACGACACGTAGACAAACGCATCGGTTTTATTTGTTTAAAACGACGTCGTTTTGATTTGGGGGAAAACTGAAATTAAAATTCCTAAATCCCAAAAAAACAAATAAGAACCTATATACGTACAAATAAAAAAAATGTTAAAACCAGAGACCTTCGATTTTTTCTCCGACAAAAGTATCACTTGTTCTGTAGAAGAACCTAAAGCTGTTTGCTTTATTTTCATGGTTATTACTCTGGTGCTATTCAGGAGAAGAAGATGTGAATTTCTCTGATGATGATTCGAACACGAGTTCCATCGTGATTTCAGTTTGTTTGTGTTGAAGAAAACTTGTTCGATGATGATGATGGGTTTATATAACTTAACCCAAGTTTACAGATTTCTAACATTCTTTACGAAGAAGAAGAGTTTATGAAGAGAGAAGAACCAGAGAGGTAT